AAAAAAAAGAAAAAAAGAAAAAAAAAAGAACGTCAATTTACAGACCCCGTTTGTATGATGTAATCTAATCTAATCAGACCGGCTAGGTATTACATCACTTCCCCATACCCTTAAACTATGCCCCACCCGGTGCGTGCTAGGTCATCTTCAGGCGTCAATCAACTGTCAAAATCGCCTCCCACCCACCACGCAACGTAAGGTACTGTTTTCACGACTCAACAACCCAAAACGATACCCGGTAATAATTACGTCGTCATAATCATCTGTGAGGAAATATTTTTTTCTCGAAGACATCTTTGTTCAAAAACATATAATATAGACGTCATCAATGAAGTATGTAAGTATATTTCAAAATGTTTCAAAAAGAGAGAAGAAGCCATTAGAACTTAGATCAATGCCACTTATGTATATATTTCTTTTTTATTTTATTTTTTAGCATTGTATACCTTAGACCTGATGTTAGCCTTTCTTTATTACTAATGTTGTAGTACTCTCTAGTACATTGTACTTTGTACATCCATGCATTTATCCCCCCGGGGAATGAACATGCAATAAAGTTTCATCATTATGAAGAGCGTTGCCTCTCACTTACCACAAGGTAATCGTAGTCACATGTTGAGTGAGCCTCGATGCCGAAGCTATCGCGGAACACCAGGGATATTTTGTGGTTTTCCGGAGCCTCGATGACCCACTCGCAGCTTAGACTGCTGGGGTAGTTGGCGGTTCCGTAGAGAGGGGTGATAACGGACCCCTCCTGAACCCCGCCATCCGTCACACTCAGCACCACACCGAAGTTACCTGCGCGGGCGACGAGAACATTTGATGATGATGATGATGATGACTGGTTTATTTCACATAAAACATGCACAGATTAAAAAAGGTCAATGGCAGCCTAAATGGCTGAATTGTCGACCGATACATTTGTAGTTATCGGTCCAAAGTCAACTTTCTGTTCATTCTTTTAATGTAGTAAGTTTAATCAACCCTATGCCATAGCATCCTGACATCTGGATGTTTTTCGTTGCTATATATATATGTTTTGCCCTTTAATTTAATCTACAGTGCACCTAATTAAAAAAAAATGATCAAATTAGGGCAGCGTTTATGCCCGTTTCTCGTCCTTAGTTAGTGACACAATAGTTTGGTGTGACGTCACGTCACCATAGTGACAAAACATCAACATCTCAAACATCATGGGCGTAACTTGCATCACCAAGGTAAATATTTAGATGGTCACTGCGACCACTGTAACCACCTAGCTAGAGGGACCTGATAAAAAAAATCGGTCAAAGTGCACAGTTAGCCACTATACTATGGTCTATAGACAGGATTCTTTTGCTTGTTGGCTCGAAAGGAAAAACAAGCTGACCACCAGGCAGGTGGTCCTTATGCAGAGGTGTTCAGTAGTGCGCATTTGACTTATATATATATGTTGTTTCCATTGCGCCTGAGAAACAAGAACCTCATTCTTGATGTTTCCAAACTTTGAAGTACACAAGTATAACTACGAAAATGAATGAAACTTCCTAAGTTCTTATCCTTACTCTAAAACATCTGGTGTTAGCCCTGCGCTTGATTCAAGATTCAAAACATCAGTGTACGATGTATAAACATAAGCTGCCTACACTTTTACGTCTATGTATAGCTGCTACACTTAACCACAGTGAGTTGCATTCGATTAAGAAAGCTCGGGCCACACAAGTAGTACGATCTCGCCGGACGATCGCAAACTGAGTGCATATTCTTGAGTTAGTCTTGTATGTGTCGTACAAAAATTAATCTGTTTTGATACAGGGAAAGCTGTGGTAAATCCTTGTTAGCTGGTTTTCTTTTTTTATATGCCAAAATTCAATGACTAGACAAAGTGACGCCACACTCAAGTTATACATGTATCAACTAATTTTATGTCACCACCAACACAGAGGACGATCGAATACAGGACGGGACACTAGGAAAGTTGTGTTAAGTGCCTTTCCCAAGGGCACAAGATCAGTGGCATGTCAGGAATCGAACCCGGGACCTCTTGGTTCCGAGTCGAGCACTCTGTCGTTACGATCAAACACGATTGTGTCACAGCCTGTTACAATGATACAATATTTTTAGAAAAGAGATTCTTGGAATTACACGTCGCGTAAAAGTCATGCCTGTACATAACATTCATAGACGATGTACTTACAGTCGTGTTCCTGTGCGGCTGTACCGAGTCGGCCACATCAGAAGACATCCGATGGTTACAAGACAACCATAGAACAGCACATTTTCGGTGCCAAGCAAGCAGTAGCATGAAAGAAAAATAGGGAGAATATGTTAACATTTTCATTCATCGCGATTTACCACATTTGTGGAAGGACAAAACAAAACATAGGAAGACATTGAACAGGTGACCATCACATTAATTTTAAGATGTCAAACCTGAGACCAGATTGTAATTGTATGGTTTAAACCTTCCATGCCGAGAAGGATCCTAAAGTTTTTATAGTTTTTAGGTATTTGTGGTGGGTTCAAATGATGACAACATTGTCACAACGTTTGAAACATATAGAGTTCATGTGGATAGACGTAAAACGTACGCTAAATAAAAGAGGAGATATATTGCCAGCGAGGACCTTTGAAAGATTTTCGGGAAAAGTCACGAAAAATTACGCAATCTGCACAATACAAGTAATCTTCGTTGATAAATCAAGATAGACGATGTTTAATAAATCTCAGGAAAGCCACCTTGACCTTTTTCCTAAACAGTTCAATCCTTTAATCCTTGTTGTACTTTACCAGTTAGCTTGATTCTATGCGCCTAAACCTGTCTTGTCAAAAGCCCGAAGATCAAGTCTTTGCAGTGACGTTTTGTCACCAATCAGGAATTTCTCACCGCCGTTCCCTCTCCTTCCCCCGCCGGTTCCCAGCTATTATGTACAGTAATCTCCGACTTACCTGTTTCTATCACAAGGAAGAGAAAGAGTGCAGCCGTGCTCAAAAGTTGCTTCATGACACCGCGTGTATATCCAGACGGCGAATCTTGTCTGTTCCCTTGGGTTCTTGAGGATGGTACTAGTTAGAATACCAGGTGTCAGTCACTCTTAAATACCTCCTTGCGGGAGTCTAGTTTGATGTTATTAAATTCTCCTTTTTGGTTAATTGAATTTTTTTTTCGCGCTGTCTCTTCTGAGCGCCGCTAAACTTGGTTACCTCGCGCATTGTCCATGCTCGATTACTTGGTTAAATCTTATTTTCCGTGCCGTTACTCGATCCCAAAGCGTCAGCTCACCCACTATGTCAACAAAAGCCTGTCTCCAAAAACACGGGGACGACAAGGTGTCCATCATACATGGTTGCTACGTTGAATTACGTCGTAGTGTTTATGTTTAAAAACAAGCAACATACGTGACGTAACGATGCTATTTGCACGAGTTGAAAATACTGAACTAGGAGTATGTTTGTTTGTTTGTTCGTTTCCCAACGTCCGGTAGACCACCTTTAGGCGTAATACACTTGTGTTGCGGTTTGATTCAAGCACACCGGGCCGGAAGGACCCCTGCTCTTTTCAACAAATGTGGTGGAAACTTCTAACGTACTCGGGGCGTGGCCCTCCTCAAACACCGGACTTCTGACTATATTTATTTACGTCCCATCTGAGAGAATGTCCCTAACCGAAGCTAGGAACTCATTTTCAGAGTCGAGTGAGGAAACGGGTGTATTTGTAATGTAGGTCACCTTCAATTCGTCTTTCCCAAGAACACCATTTGGGCCTGCTGGGGATCCACACAATTTTGAACCTTTCATGTTGCGCAACGCACATTTCATAGTCATCGGTCCATGGTTGATTAATGTTCTTCTACTGTGATGAACAAAAATATCACCAGAACACAAATATAATACATTTCTTTGCAGAAAGTTTTATTACATATTGACTATTTGACATACTTATAACTGTTTCAATTGCATTCGTTCCAGCACTTAAGGCGACATATTTTACATGACATGTAAACTCGTGTCCTGGTCTTGATCTGTGGAGCAAGAAAATCGCACAAAAGTCGCGACTGTTCCCGCTAACGAGCGCGCTTTTAGAGGCGACTCGCGCTTTGAATGGGAGCATAACCTTGTCAGTCACCATGGTAACGAACGTAACAACATGGCGCACCTTACAATGGGCTCGGAATAACCTAATAATCAGTAGGGGGGACAAGGTGCGTCAGAGCGTGATACTTAAGACTTCGTAAGACTTCAGCCCCCTTTTCTTCCTAAAATAAACTGATTGTCAGGGGCGAAAGTCTTTTCAACATTGCGTGACTGGCGCGATTTGATGTACCAGACAGGTGTACTTTGGCCAAAATCCTGGCGACGTAAACATAGCCATAATATTTGGAAGTGAGCCTGTGATTTTCAAAAATATCCACTCGCTCTGTCACTCTATTATATGAGAGGCCTTAGAAGGAAAATGGCGTCTTGCACAAATAACAGGTGATTTGCATGCTCAGATATGGCGCCAGAGAGTCTTTGTGAAACTTAAGTGTGTCAGACTCGCGGCGTTCTAGGTTACCTTCAGGCATGACCTCCTTATCAACCAACTGTCAAAATCACCTCCCACTCACCATGAAATAGAGGCAATTAGAAGCCCACAATTTAGCCACCCAAAACAATTCTCCCATGCCGAGGTACCACCTTCTCCCCATCTCTTTAACATCAGACAGTGCAAGCTAGCCTGGGTACCATCCTACTTGTATGCCGGGGCTCCCACACTCGCTTCCCTAAGAAGTAGGGAAGCAAGGGAAGCGAGTGTGCGAGCCCCGGCATACAAGTAGGATGGTACCCAGGCTAAGTACAAGCACTCAGCAGAAGTTTACTGTTTGTGCAAGCTAGATGCAGTAAGGAAACTAGAGACAACTATGTAACATTCATCCACATTTTATTTGCTGGTAGCATCTTTGTTTTACCACTGACATATTTTTTCTTAGCTATAATTTACAAGATCCCCAAATATGTACACATCACATTCCACATTGACCTGATTAACCTATACAACATTTCCGTGAATAATACATGTATTATATATGTACATCGCGCCTTAACAAAATAGTGACTCAGTACCTACAGAATGGCACAACAGAAAGGTGAACATGTACTGTGTTTGGGTACTTTAAATCTACCCCTAACTCCCAAAGCCTGGCACCCATCTAGCCTCCATAGCAAGCCAAAAACTGGGGGTTTTGAGGGTCTCCACGATCTTTGGGAGCTTTTATGTGCTATTTTCTGATTGCATATAGACAACATAGCCGGCCTGGTTGAATTACCCCCGTTTTTTGAGAACAGGGCTAATCAGAAAACAGCTGAAGACCACCAAACCCCCAGTTCTATAAGCCTGCTACGGAGGCTAACATCCATCCTATTCTAGCTCCAGTTCAGTCCTCCCATTGCTTCCCTGTAGAATAATCTGGCCTCCATTTCCATGATTGATCCTTATGTTCTGTGCTACTTAGGGTCGGGAATTGAACATTTCTTGGAAGCAGTTTAATGGGCAACAACACCCCAGAGCAAGCCCAACAGCTGGCATATAACAGACCAAGATGGTCAATCTGGTCGGCTCTACGTACTACGCATCTATGTGCAAGAGGAGTGAGTGAATGAGTGAGTGGGGGGTGAACTGCTGTTGGAACCTGTTACCATGCTGTTACATGTACAGGGACCATGCGACTCAGAGACAATCAGGATTCTTGGATATATTCCAGGTGAATGTTTAAATGTCTACAGTTTCTCTATGAACAGGTGACAGACTAATTGGCAAGGGAAGCTTTGGGAGTGAAATGGAGCTAGAAGTTAGGTTGGACACCAGGCCAATAAAACTCCCCAATCCAACCCTGTCCTTCCCCTCATATCATCCACACCTCCTGTTCACTAGATGCTGTGACTGCCGAGTAACCAAACATTTGACATGTTGCTATAAGAACAACCTTTCTCCCTGTTTCTTTTTTTCTTCTTGTCTTTATATCATACTTAAACATCAATTGTTCATCATATTGCAGTTATAAAATCCAGGGTCAGAAAAATCCAACTTTGATTTCTCAGCGATCACCGTCTAGTGAAAGGAGGGTTGAACCAACCCTCCACAATACATATTTCCATAGAACATATCAGTTTCTAATACTAGCCATACTAACCAGGAGATCATGTACACATCTTACTTTGTACATGTATATTTGTCAAAACTTGTAGAATGCTGGTATCAGTGGTATGTGGTACAGTATTTCAGTGGAAAGGAGTTTAAGAATTCTCTAACAGTGTTTTCTCTACTATGTGTGTTGGTACATTAGTTTTTGTGGGGTTCATGCATATGAAAGGTTGGGACACAAATGTGCTGAAATTCAAGACAATTCAAGGAACTTTTATAAAGAACTTAAACATAACACACGATAACCCAGTGTATCGTGTTCACTTAGAGTCGGTGATACTAGGAAAAATTTCCTTGGCACAAATGCTAAGCTGTCCAATACAAAGTTGCCATACCCCTTTCTACTTTGCACAATGTTTTCACTTTGGCATTTTGTTTCTAACATATCTTTATATATATCACTACATGGAGGTATCATCCTTTCAATTTTCAAGTGTTGTCAAAAAGTACCAAAAGCACACATTGTGCAAAATGCATTTAGAAGAAGATGTGCAGCATTGATTCACCCATCCCATATACTTGTATAAGACATTTCCCCCATCTAAATACTACTTAATGAGAATATTTTAGTAAATTTGAGGCAGAGCCTAGATAGAAATTGCTACTGTATCTATTTAAGAGCTGCTAATTCTCTTGTTAGTCTGGCAATTTCATCTCCAAGTGTCTCCAAGTTCTCCTGTATGAGGCAGAAAAACATGTCAGTTAAATGTCTACACAGCAGGGCATGAAATACCTCTTGTATATGAAGGTTACTTTTCTTTCTTTTTTATGCAGGTTAATGCAGGTTAAACACACTCATACATATATGGTGACCAGCCCTTCCAACTTGCTACAAAATGTAACCCAACACCACAGGGTGTCTGCTACAGCACCAGTTACCATGGTGACAGCTGTCTGGTCCAGGTCTTTGACCTTACGTATTTGGAGAAGAAGAAACTGAGCAAAAACAACATGTTTTCCTTCAAAGGACACACGTGACAACCTTTACTGGGTCAGTCTACTGAGGAAGACCAGAGTGACTGGTCGAAAGCTCTAGGTGAGAGAACTTTTTTGTGTTGGACCAAAAGTTTTAACTCTAAACATGTAACTACCAACACAGATGAACGTTCATGATATTCTCCTTCTATGAAGGTAAGGCCACACCAAGTGAATTTTATGGATGACGTCCACGCGCGCATTGATTTTGGCATGTTTCTAGGAAAAAACATGAAATTTTGCCTCCTGTAACTATGACCAAAGAGTCACGACAGTGCCGCAAGTCGCCAGATTGACGTGAAATCCGTAATGCGAAGAAAGTGTCTATTACCATCCTGTTTTCACTGTCTACTGTTCCACCTGATTTATTGCTGTTTTGACCATGAATAAAAGACTTCTTGCTTGTTACACTGTGTCACCTCATTCAAGTTGTGTCCTAACATTTGTCGTCTCTTAGTATATATCTAATCTAGGCATCTTGTTTTATAGAGTCCTACTTGTTTTTTTTTTTCGCCCTCTCGCATTAGATTTAGGGTCTCCAAAGGACGTCATCCATAAAATTTACTTGGTGTGGCCTAAACATAACAACAACCTAGTCCATACCTTGAGGGTGATATTTTTCAGCAGGGTGTCTTCCAGCACGGCTTGCAGCTTGCGGTTTATCTCCAGCGACAGGTCAAAGGTCATCTCGCTGTCATGCGGTGATCCAGAGTAGAGTGACGCCATGATGCCGCCTTTCCTGGCCATGCGGGCCTGAGGTGAGAAGACATACAAAATGTACAAGTAGGTTAACTTGCTATCTTCTTAGTTCTTTTGCCTCAAAAGTTCTTTTCTTAGACTTTTGCCTCAAAAGTCTTGGTGTTTGATAAATTGTTTATTACAATTGCATTTTTTGTGACCCTTGATTTTATAATTGAAACATGATGCATGATCTTAAAGTATGGTTCAAAAGACAACATGAATGTGAAAAACTGTGTTCTTCATGTATATCTTTATATTCATTAAACGATTTCTAAAACTAGAGTTCCACGATCTCATACCTTCGCCAAATGATGTTAGCTTTTATGAATGAGAACTTATATACAATGTATTAATCCCCCTGATTATGCAAATAGGATGCAATTGCATGAATTATATCTGTTGATCATGATCTCCACCAACAGTCTTATTTTAACAAAGAATGCCATTATAGCATTTCCTCATATATTATGCAAATGAGGTCCTTATTTGAATCAGTTATGTTAAATTATGTTTACCTTCACTAAACTTCAAACACCCCAAGTATAAAATTCCAGGCAGTTACCACTATGCAATTATAACATTTTCTCATTAATTATGCAAATTAAGTCTTCATTTGCATAATCGATATCTGCCTGTGTTTCTCTCGTTGTTAATAACATATGTCGCAAGCTTGAACTTCCTATCATGGAATGCAGTTGATTAATAGAATTTCCTCATTAATTATGCAAATTACATCCATATTTGCATAATTGTAATATCATTATGTCAAGCATTACTCAAGCTACCTACATACCAAAAATCATGATGATCCATCAATCGGTTCTTGAGTTATCCTCCTTTAAACATTTGTCCTTTAAACCCCCCTGCAGTTCTAGAGCAAGCAACTAGGGGGCCCAAACTCACATCACTTCTTGCCCAGCACAAGAGCTACCTACCATCTAAATTTCGTCACCCTAGCATGTCTGGATCATGAGATATCAAAACCGGAAGTTCAGCTGCAGTACCATGACAAGCCGCCAGGGGGCCCAAAATCTAATCAGTTCGAGCTCTCATCAAGACCTACCCATCTACCAAATATCAAGATAATCCATCTAAGCTTTCTCGAGTTATGCTGTTGACAGACACACACACACACACACACGGCCAGGAAAACATAACCTTCTCCAATTCTTGGCGAAGGTAAATATCTTTTCCCCTCAGCAGTCACAGCCCCTAGTGGAAAGGCATGCCACATATACACAAGTGGGGAGGGGGGTGGAAGGATGTCTACAAGTACTGAAGGCCAGCTAACCAAAATGGCCACATCTCTCAGCAGGGTGACTCAGAACTCACAACGAACATGCAGTTAGTGGAATAAGACTAGCCCTTCACACAACGCAAACAACAAAAGTCATGCAAATGAAACGTTAGTCACAACATCAGGGGCTTGAAATACCACCTGCATACATGTATATGCAGGTTAGTGCAGGTAAAATTGTAGCTGTGCAGGTATTTCTGATGTCTACCTGCACCTAATCTGCACATACATGTATTGGGTACAAGTGTCATATTTTTCAGATTTATTTGTTGGATTTTTGTATTCTGTAGTACCAAATGCAAAATGCTAAATAAAGAACTAATGTAATTAAAAATGGTTTCTTATCAGTTTTTAACATGACAAAAAAATCTACTTTTAAGTCTTAGTATAACTTGGTACAGGTAAATTCTGTCTGGTGCAGGTGATTTCCAATGCTACCTGTGCCAGTGCAGGTATGCAGAAAAACGTATTTCGAGCCCAGAACATGCAGAGGAAACGTTAGTCACACTGAACACCTTGCAAACCCGTTATCTGCTTCCGATGAACTTACCAAAAATTTGGTCTGATGCGGCGAGAGGAGGGAAAGGAAGAACAGAGCATGAGGTTACATGGATTTTCTGGCAAGCACTCCTTACTTCTACTGCAATATGGCCAACCTCCATTAACATTTATCTGATGGGTTACATACATCTGCCACTTTGAAAAACAGTGTGTTTGAGAGATCTCTAGGTAGAGATCTCTACCTCCTCTTTGGTACAGTTTAGATATGCAAGTTAGAGTGGATTTTTTTACAGTTTCCAGGAACAAAAAGTATGACATAAAAGGCAACAAACAAAAAAAAATGTGAAAAAGCAAAAGAGTACTATTTGTCTATATTACTGAAATGAGTTGTTAATTTTTCTTAATGGAAACAGCCCGGCCGGGCTCCGGTTTGGAAATGTGACCTCAGCATTACTTGGGTATGTTGCATTGAGGATCTCTTTAGACAAATTTTCCAGGGTAGCAGATATATGTGACCTGGCAGAATTATGTTAGTAGACGTTAGATATTACTACTAACATGTGGTGTGTGAATAATTATGGCACCAGAAAAATGAAAAAAAAAGAGAAGAGAGACATTTTCTTCTTCGCAAGATGCTGCCAACATAGGAAATAGCCAGGGAGAGAAAGAAAATCAAAAAGCAAAGAAAAGCAAACTGTGAGTACAATATATGTCATTTCATATTTGTAACTTTGTGCTATGAAAAGTACATTGTACACTATAATACATATCTCGACATGTTTCATGTCTTAACACCAAAGTGTTAAGGCCAATCATAATAGCTGTAGACAGGCACATGCAGACATCTCTGATACATTTGTACTTTATGTCACACATAATGTGTGTTTGGCAAGCAATAGAAATGATTCTTGAATACACTTTAAGGTTAACAAAATGTGCCTGATGAGCTTATGTTGTATCCACAACCATGCTTTATCCTGAACCATGTTTAAGATAGCAAATAGCAAATCTTCCTTCCTGGATATACATGGAGATGTATGGAGACTATACAGAACATATAACTAGATAGGCAAGTTCTTGGTAAAACAGCCTTAAAACTAAAAGAAATAAAAAAATGTATGACTTTTTTTGTATGGAAATTTTCCAGGGTTGAAGTCTTACCTTATTGTCGTCCATGAACTCAGTGGAAAGAGTGCCAGCCTCCTCCCTCATCACATACATCTGGATAATTCTGAGGGAACAAGGTCAGGGTCAGGGACTCAGAAGTAAGGGTTATAGTGTGTGTTTGTGTGTTACTGTATGTGTGTATGTTTGTTTAGCCGTGTGTGTATGTGTAAGTATATGTATCTGTATTGCATGTTAGTGTGAGTGTAATGTGTGTCAAATGCGTGCATGTGTATGTGTGTATGTGTGTGTCTTTTTTTTCTTTTCTTGTCGTATATGTAAGTGTATGTGTACCATGTGGATATAACATACATTGAATGCACATTGAATCCTTGAATATTTCTTGCCATTGTTCATGTTTCTCAGTAACTGATTAAACAATGTTGTGATTTAAAGGCCAATAATATCACAAACTGTAGCAAAAGGAAAAGGTAACAACAACAACAATCCCGCTTACTTGGTCTTTTTCTTGACTTCGTCGACCATCTGTGTGATGTGGTCGTCCATGAACTCCAGTTTCTCGTTCTTGCGAGCGTGAGCCTTCTGTAACTTCAGGATCCTCTCCACCAGCACTGACTTGTCGATGTTTGGGTACGGGTCTTCCTGCTCGGTCGCCTGGATGGGGGGAGGGGGTGGAAGAATGTACAGTCAAATCAGAACTAGTGACCACCTCTACATAATGACCACCTGGCCAATGTGGCCATTTTTGGTGGTCCCAGGGTAACATTTCCCATCATAGACAGGATTCTATAGTTACTGCAGTAGCTGAATATATTACACCTACATCAGGTAATGGCTTTTTACACCTAACCTTTGAACATAAGACTCTAAGCATTCTTTAAAGCTATATAGTGCCCTAACTGTACTTCGTGTCAGTGAGTTCCACTCTACGATAGTTCTAGAAAAACTTTGTTGATATCTCTGGTACATTGTACTTGAAGGCATGCCTGCTTCCTGTTCTATTTTGAGCTGGTATAGGTACTTAGTAGTTGGTACACCAACCAGTCTATGAGTCATTTGTGCATCATGCATATATCCTGCATATATCATTACATCTGAATACTCACAGCTGGTCCTTTGTAACTGACAGCTGGCACATTGTCCTCCTCACTACTGGCATGAGCTGCAGCATTTTGAACAGGGGGGCTGCCAGATACTGGCATGCCATTGGCTGACACCTTGTCCAATGAGGTGCAAGAACTGGCCCTGGAGCTGGAGCTCAGCTCTTTTCCCTCGTTCTGGCTGGCTTCTATAGCCTCCAGTTTTCTGTAATCAGACAGTAATGCTTCATTTAGTGTTGATGTTTGAAGTAGGAAAGAACCATATGTGAAACTGCTGATACATTACTGACACAAGAGGGAGAAATGGCATTGTTTTGAATTGGAAACCACAAGTTCTTTGTGATACATACATGTACAAGTAGATTAATAATTATACTGAATACCAGTTTAGAGATACAAATACTTACTTCTTTGCCTGTTGCAGCTGTCTTGTCAGATCCTGAAAGACAATTTGTAAAAATTAAAACTCAAGTGTTCCCTTTACAACCACAAGTTTATACACACCTATGCTGTGTTCAACTTTATACATTGTATTGTGTTGAATTTCAGTAAATACAACAGCTATGCAGAAATATATCCAGCAACATAAAACATTGGAGGATTTTGAGGGATGTATCATGTTAGGTGTTGTATGTACATCTTAGTATGACCTACGACCTGCAGCTTGACATGACCTAACCCTTGACCCACCTTGACCCCCTGCTGGTGTTTCCTCTTCAGAGTCTTGATCTCGTCTTTCTGGTCTTCAATCTGGATAGTCAGCTGTTCAACTGTAGAGATACATGTTAACATTACATTTCTACAAACAAATAGTATAAATCAGTGTTCTAGTTAGCGTCCGTCTTCCGACATTTTGTCCGTCTCATGACGGACAAAACTCCTCTTTTTTTTTAATGAGAAACATGGCTATGTCAAGAGATCGCGGTGAACGTTTAATTTGAAAGCCTGTAGGATTGTAGATTTTCCCCAATTTGCCATCTTTCACAGGTTTTTCTCAACCAATGAGTTAACTCCAAAAACTCAAAATACATTAAGCTATGGGAGGTTCAGTTATAATGACTGCAGAACTTACCGGCTCTTGATTTCTCGGACAGTCGTTGTGTTAGGAGTTCTGCTTCTCTGGAGCGTAAATCTTGCTCTTCAGCCAACTCCTTGCTCTGTGAAAAATTGTTGTACACAATGTTTCTTTTAAGCACTCCAGTCTTACCCTACTAGTGATCATTATTACCACCAAAGTGTTGTCAACCTTCTCTGTCCAGACAAACAGACACACAAACCCAGAATACTACAGTACCTGAAATTAATGACAAGAACTTACCAATTTTTCTTTTTCAGTCTTCAATTCTTCAAGTGTCTGTCTCAGACCCCTCAACTCCATTGTTAGGTTGTCAACCTGCAATAGGAAAGATAACATCATCATCAGCAACAACAACAATTATGGGATGTTAAAACCAAAACATACAGTAGAGCTAGAAGGACAGAGAGAAAGAAGGAAGGAAGAAAGGACAAGTATATGATATAAAAGTTCCTACCTCTCTATTAAGCTTGGTATAGCCAAGATAACAGATTAGAGCAAAGAGAGAAGTAAGAACATGAGACACTTGGAAATTTACATTTTTTTGTAATAACTCAAAGAAATTCCTGACAGTGCCTATTCTCGCCAAGAAAATTACTGGCTAATATTTATGTTAGACCTTTAATCAAATCAAATGACCAATCTGAACTTTTCACCATCTGTCAACTACACCAGAGTGACTGGTTGAACAGGTGAGAACAACTATCTTGTGTTGGAACAAAAACTCTAAGCAATCGTAACTATCAAAACAGATGATTAAATGTAAACCCTATGTACTCCCTACCTTAGCCTGTAGTGTGTTGTTCTCTGTGGTGAGCTGGGTGTTTTTAGCGGTGAGTTTCTCGGTGAAGACGAGTAGCTCCTGTTCCCTGGCCCTGCTGGTGGTGACAGAGGCCTCCTGGTCAGACACGGTTGACCGCAGCTCCCTGACCTGCTCTTGGAACTGACCCTTCTCCTGTTTGGTACTGTGGGAGGGGGAGAGGATGTATACAGTAGGAGTCAATGGTTCATATGTATATGTGCCTTGAAGATGAATATAAATGTAGGTCGAGCAGCTAGCTAATTTGTAGATTGTAGATTTGTAGCTTAATTATGTTTTTTTATTTGCACTCAGTAAGTTTCAACATAAGCTCGTGAAAGAAACAGCGCTTGATCACTCAGCTTGGAAACATGCTGTCAAAGTAAGGGTGGAACGTCGACATTACAAGATGGAGACAAACGGCCACAGAAGCTGATTACTAACAAATACAAATTGTCCAAACCTAGTGATGGACAGGTGTAGTTGTCTCCGCATCCCTCGTTGTCAGGCAGACAGAATACTTCAGGTGATTGAGCCTGTCCACCCCCGTGTAGACTCTAGTTGGTATCGCCCAAAGTTGAAGGGTCACCCTCCCTGCGCATGCGCACCAGTCTAAAGTTTTTCAGCTCCACCTGGCCGAAGCCCTCTCGGGATGGGTCATGCCGGAACTCGTGGAGAACTGCACCAGTCAGGGAGGGTGTCTGCCTGACAACGAGGGATGCGGAGACAACTACACCTGTCCATCACTAGGTTTGGACAATTTGTATTTGTCTACCGCATTCCCTCTTATGTCAGGCAGACAGAATACTTCAGGTGAGATTTGTAGCTGCTGAGGCCAGGACGTTTCTTCCGAATGAAGCTGACCCCACCGGTCTTAAAAGTAGAAGCTGTAGACCAATTAGCTGCTGCTAGAATGTCCTTGGTTGATACGCCTTGTCGTGCCGCAGCAGAAACAGACGCCCCTCTAGTTGAGTGTCCGGTGAACCTTGAGGTGTCGATCCCGGCCTCTTGTAACACAGTTTTAGCCATCTAGCGATGGTAGACGTAGATACCGCCTGGTGTGGCTCCACAAGAGCTCTAAACAGAAAACTGTCGCACAAACGAAAACTTCTAGTTCTTGATACATAGGCTTTCAGGTATGTTACCGGGCAAATTCTTCTGTCCTGCGGGAAGCTTGGAATCACAAAGTCGTGTGTGACTTTGCCCGGCCGTGAAGTCTTGGAGAGACTGTTAACAGTAAAACAAACTCCGTCGGAGATTCTTTTCTTGAATCTCAGATCCAGCAACGAAAGAGACTGCTCTCTTCCCGCAGAAGTAAGAGCAAACAACATAATAAGTTTTAAGGTTAACAAACGAAGTGATAAAGAACTTGCTGGAGACCAACTCCTTAGCAACTTTAAAACTTTACCGACGCTCCAGGTAAAGCTATACTTGGGTAGTGCTGGACGTAGTTCAAACACACCTTTCATGAACCGCCTCACCAACGGATGTGATCCTAGAGGCTGCCCTTCCACGGGAAGATGTGTGGTAGATATAGCTGATCTGTACACATTGATAGTTCTGTACTGGAAACCCTTGTCGTACAAGGATAACAGAAAGTCTAGCACCTTATTCAGAGGTGCAGAAACGGGATGGATGTGCCGTTGATCACACCAGCCACTCCACTTGTCCCAGGCCGAAGCATACAGCTTCTGTGTTCCTGCTCTCCATGACGCCAAGAGGATTTTGCTAACCTCTGGCGAAATGTCATACATGTCGTGCTGACTCCGCAGACATGCCAAGCGGCTAGTTGCATTTTTGTGCCCTCTGGGTGAGGCATCCCTGACTCTGGCTGTGTCAGGAGACTGTTGTGGCGAGGTAGTAACACTGGTTCTTCTACCAGCATCTCCAGCAGGACTGGGTACCAGACTGCTGTGTCCCAGATCGGAGCTACGAGAAGCAGGTGAGCTCTGTCTTCTCGCGCTTTCCTTAGAGTTGGTGCGACTAGCATGAACGGGGGAAAAGCGTATGGCAGATCCCACCTGTTCCAGTTCATTGTGAACGCATCTGTCCCGATTGCCTCTGGCTCTGGATGCCAGGACACATACTGAGGTAGCTGGTAGTTTGTTCGGGACGCGAACAGATCCACCCCCTTCATGAGTCGTGGAAATGTCGCTTGCGAACAGATCCACCCCCTTCATGAGTCGTGGAAATGTCGCTTGCAAACCCCGGAACGTGTGACGATCCAGGGTCCATTCCGTGGCCGGAGAAAGATGCCGGGAATTGTAATCCGCTCGGACATTCTCCTTTCCTGGTACATGTTCTGCTGTGATATACAAGTCTCTGTTCACGCACCACTCCCATAGATCGAGAGCTATGTCCAGCAATCTCTGAAATCTCGTCCCTCCGAGACGATTCAGATACGCGACTACCGTCACATTGTCTGTGACTGTGAGGACCTTCACGTGCTTGCTGACTAGCTCCCTGCAGAACGCTCGAACCGTTAGTGACGCTGCACGCAGTTCTAGGATGTTTATGTCTGCCTGTTCTTCCTGGACAGACCACCGGCCTCCTGTATGTACGCCGTTGCTGTACCCACCCCAGCCGGCGGTAGAGGCATCCGTCTCCACCACAATGTCTGCTGCAGGTGAGAGGATTGGACGACTGTTGTGTCTGGGTAGGTGATCTGTCCACCATCTTAAGTCTGCTCTTGCTGATTCTGTCAGTGGTACGAGCTGTTCCCAGTGACCTCTTGTCACACGCAGAACTGTGATGAGCAGACGCTGCAAACTTCTGAAGTGCAGCGGCGCCAGCCATACAGACGTGGTTGTGGCTTGTAGCCTGCCAATCACGCTTGCTAACTCTCTTGCCGACATCCCTCTGTCTGCGGTCAGTACGTCGTGTGCTAACTGCTGCAGCTCTAGAACTTTGCTCTCGGGGAGAAAAGTAACCATCTGTGTCGTGTCGATGCCGGAACCGAGGAAGGTTATGCGTTGTGATGGCTCTAGAACAGACTTCTCGAGGTTGGGAACGAATCCCAGCCTTGACAGGAGCTCTATGGCTGCCCAAAGAGCTTCTCGGCATGCTTCTCTGGAGCGGCCGATCACCAAGATGTCGTCCAAGTACACCACTAGACGAAACCCCCGTCTTCGCAGGATAGCCACAGGAACTTTCAACACTTTCGTGAAGACCCTCGGGGCGGTCGCCACGCCGAAGGGCAGGCACTGGAACTGGTAAAAACCGGCCCTGCCACTGAAAGGTGAGGAACCGGCGACTGTCCGCATCTACCGGGATGGTAAATTATGCGTCCTTGAGATCCAACTTTGCCATAAAATCTCCTGGTCGAACCAGGATCTTGATAACTCCCAGAGCTTCCATCTTGAATTTCTGAACATTAAAGAACTTGTTTAATGGTTTCAGGTTGATAACAGGACGAAGACCTCCTGTCTTTTTTGGCACTGTAAACAAAGTTGAAACAAACTGATTGTGTTGATACTAAACTTCCTTTATTGCCCCTTTGGCAAGTAGAGTCTCTACCTCTCCGCTCAGAACTTCTATCTGAGCTGGACTTCTTGCTCGACAAGATGGCAGATGTCGTTGCACCGGAGGCGTTCTCGCAAATTCCAACCTGTACCCCCTGACGCACTGAAGAACCCAAGGATCGGAAGTCAACTGCCTCCACTCCTGCATGAAGTGGGCTAGCCTGCCTCCGTGAAGTAGCTGAGTAGTGTTGGGTACATGTTGAAATTCGGTCAAACGCCGGCGTGCTTCTCCCTCTGAAGCTGTGTCTGTTACTTGGACTGCTTCTGCTTCCCGTCCCCCGACTTAGACTGAAAGGACTGGTTGCGGTTGTAGAACTGTCGGGTTTGTGAACCCCTGTAACTGTACTGGCCATAATTGGCCCGTGGCATGTAGCGGGAGTTTCTGTAGCTGTAGCTGAACCCTCCGCCAGTTGCTCTGCCGCCGCCGCGACGAGCACCACGCCTCGGCACTGAAGACTTCCCCTGGTCGTCCTGGCTGAGCATGCCAACCAGCACTTTCGTCTCTGACGACAAGTCCTTAGCCTTTGACCCCATGTCAGGCGGGAACAGGAACTTTGGGTCTTCAGATGCTGCCTTGAAAAGGTCTCTAAACTTCTTCTGGGATGACTCTGCTATGAACGTGCGTCGGGTGAACGCCAACTGAGAATGTAGCGACCCCAGCAACACAAGTGCTGAACCAGCACAGTCACTCATCTCTAGCTGCAACTCTTCAAAGTTCTCACTATT